AAAAATGGGGTGTTCCATTTAAAAAAATTAATGTGACCTTGACCTGACCTTCGCTACGCAACCCAAGGTCAAACTGATGTGATCAGTAAATACATCTTTTTAAACGCCACAACTTTTGTCTGAAACATTTTTTTGTAAAACTTATATTTTTCCTGATATTCGGGCGTCCCGGTACTTTCCGAACACCCTGTATATATATATATATATATATATATATATATATATATATATATAAGGTATTTATTTTAAAACTTTCCACCTTAATATTTTTAAAAATATACGTTTTACAAAAAAATATTTAATATAAAAATTGTATGGTTTTGAAGAGACCATAAAAGGCTACTATTTGTCTGACCTTTGATACTGAGTTTCATCGCCTTCTGATGATTCCCACTTTATTTTGATCTTTTCATAACATTTCACATTTTGTATAAAAAATCAAAAACTTTGGGCGCGTTGCGCGACTTGAAGATGTTGATTTCAAAAAATTTTATTGCATTGTGCTTGCATTCGTGAGTAGCAAATTTTTCACCCTATTAGATTTTGATCCGCAAACTTTTTCCTAATTCGACCTAGTTTAATGCATAGGTGATTGGCTGGATGTTTATGATAACAAGTTCAGGAACAGATAAGGACTGAAGACCATCACATCACACCCACGCACTCACACATGCACGCATGCACACATACAGCACACACACATACAAGACACACACATACACAATACACATACACGAAAGAGGTATAAATCCGACCGAGTAACTTCCGCGTAGTATATCTTGGATGATGCTAATGCCGGCAATACTGTAACATTCAAGTTTCATTACTCAAAAAGTACATAATGAAAAAATACGTTATTGCAATTTTGGAAAGCTCTCGAGATAAACTATAAAAATATGCAGTAAAAGATAGGGGGTTCCATTTAAAAGGTCAAGTTGAATTTGGTGTGACGTTAAAAGGGGAATTACATGAAAAAAATGTTTTGGCCATTCTTTTTTTATTGCATATTTTTAAAATATATACATTTAAAAATATTTGTGTAAATTAGAAGAAGAATATCGAAAAATTGACGGAGCAGGAACGGTTTGAATACAAAGGCGTGCAGGCCTGAAATATCGTTACCAAGTCGCGCGAAGGTCCTTTTCGCTTATCTAGATAGACAAATCAGATGTTACGTACAGAAAGGAAGGGGTACAAGATTGAGAAATGCAAAAGAAAATAATGAAAGAATCGGAGGCAAAGGAGTTGGAAATTTAACAGACAGAACTAGCCACGATCTCATGAAATATTATGGATTGGCTATTAGACGGTATCCGAACTCGGTGGAAGATACGAGAAATGAAATTTAGGTCATTTATTTTTATAAAAGTTCGAGCGACACTAAGCCTTAACGCCGAATCCATTAAGCTGGTATGCGTGGCGACGTGCTGAGATGCAGGGAACTTTAGATGATTTTAAACACGATTACCAGCCTTTAAATGAAAAATTTCTCGAAGTAATAAAGCTAATATACGAGAATCTTTCAAGAGACGACCTTCTGATGAGATGTTTAGGTGCAAACACGCAAAATAATAACGAATGTCTCAATGCGATGATTTGGCACATCGTATTAAAACATTTACACGCAGGCTTAAAAACAATAGAAATAGCGACATTTCTAGCCGTTGCTATTTTTAACGAAAGATATGCTATATATCTATTTTGAAAATTTTGTCAGTCATTGGCATGAAAATCGGCAGAAGAACGGAGATGTTTTTACTTTAATTAGATGAACGTATCGATCGCGTATAGCGTCGAGGCTCGGAGGGCTAGATTCGAAAGCTGTGAAAGACATGTGGCCTCTGAAGAACTTTTTAAGGAAGATGAGGACTTATTTTATGCACTTGCAATAGATAGATTGTAAGTTCAAAAATTTTGTTACCATCTATATGGAAATACACTTAAAACTTTAAACGCGTTTTTCTGAAAACGACATTTTCTTAAACTATTGATACGATTACGTAAAAACTACTAAACCGAATAACTTAAAATTTTTACACAATATACAGTAGACATGTAGTTTTCGTCTCTACCTCAAAAAGTTATATTGTATTTTATTCATTTTTTTAACATGATTAAAAGTTGAAAAGGTTTTATTTTCGATATTTTTTTCTTTGTACAGTTATTATTTTTCCAAACTTGGCTTCACTACCTTTATTTTGAAACGAGCTATAATATAATCGCATATTTTAAAAATCTTTCTCATTTTTTTATTTCAGAGTAGTGAGAGGCCCGGAATTATGTCAACAGCAAACATAGAACTTGCAAACGGATGACTGCATTTTTATTTATAATTACAAAGTGGATCGGTTCTTGTGATTCAATAAAATTCTTGTGATTTAATAAAATTCTTGTGATGCAATAAAATTCATCTTATACTTTGAACATTAATGAATACACTATACAAATTTCAAATCCATTGATCCTACCGTTTCTGTTTAAAAAATTCGTAAAAATAAACTTGAAAACGGTCTTTTGTATGTAATTCCCCCTTAACGCCTCCGTACAAGGTCAAACAGATAGTAGCTTTTATGGCCTCAACAAAATTCCTACAACTTTTATTTTAAATATTTTTTCGTAGAACGTATATTTAAAAAAATATTGAGATAGGAAGTATTAAAATGACACCCTGTATATCTGTAAAACATTTTTGTACAAATCACTCTGTACAATAAATATATTTTATAAACAAAAGAACAGAAAAACAATTAACATATTACATACTTTTTATATTGTTTTACAGAATTATATGATGATTTTGTTGCACCGACACTAAATTCCGATTTATTTGCGGAAACGTGGTTGAATGGCCGGGGTAGACTGCCATCGGATTGCATGGGTGAAAAGTAAGATGGATTTTTTTCTTTTTCATAAGAAATATTTTTATGTATTTTATTTGTCATATAATCGTATTTATGTATTTCAAAAGAGAGTTTGCGCAATTGTCCGAACAATTAATATTTTTCCACATTGGTAGTATGAAAGATTATTGTAGATTAGTAGATTCATACTATGAAAAATTAGTGTTTTTTCTTTATATTAACCTATTATAGCCTATAGTTAACCTAGCAAAGATATTATCTAGGTAAGATATGGAATCTTATAGTATCATAAAAAGTACAATTTTTTAACAAAAAATTGAAAAAATTAATTATTTATATCAAAATTGTTTAAATAATTAAGTTACAAAATAATTCTTTGTAAAATCTGACAGTGTCACCTGATTCTACAGAAAAATTGCTACGGTAACATGTATTACATATATGCTAACTGATCTCCGTTATAAAAAATTATTTATTATTTTTTATATTGTTGCATCCTCACAGCCCATTGCTAACTTAGTAAAAATATCATCTAGATAACATATGGAATCTTATATTATTTTATAGTATAGTAGTAAAGAGAAGTAAAGAGAACAATTTTTCAATACGAAAAGTTGAAAAAATTATTTTTTATAACAAAACTGTTTAAATAATTAAGTTGTAAAATAATTTTTCGTGAAATTTGACAGCGCCATTTGATTCTATGCAAAAATTATTACAAAAACATGTATTACATGTATGCGATCTGATTTAGAGGACTGACAAGAGAAATGGAGTATTTTACGTAAGTCCCCTAGCTCTCATAATCTGAAGATACAGTTGATTGAAAATAAACAATGCTTCTTTCACATAAGCTTCCTTGCCTCTCACGATTAAGTAAAATAATTTTGTCATAAAAAATTAATTTTTTCAACTTTTGAATAATTGTTTATTTTGCCATATAAGATTTTATATGTATATATAATATTTATATAATGATATTTATCTAGACAATATTATCTAGATAATATTATCTACGTAATATTCTGCCGAGTCAGCAATGGACTGTGAGAAGTACAACAATAAAAAAAATAATAATTAATTTTTTATAACAGAAGTTAGTTGACATATATGTAATACATATTATTGTAGTAATTTTTTTATGTAAAATCAAGTGGCGCTGTTAGATTTTACAAAAAATCAATAAGTCTTAATTGGTTAAATAATTTTGTTATAAATAAATAATTTTTTCAACTTTTTTATTGAGAAATTGTTTTTTTTTTACGATAGTAGATTCCATATGTTACTTAGATAATCATTCTAATAGATTAGTTATGAGCTATAATGAGTTAATGTAATATATTTTAATATAATTTCTTTGAACTTTTTTGCAGAGTGTACAACGTTTTATCCATCAATTTGGATAAATTTGACATCGATTTTAAAAGTAGCCACGATCACTCTAAGTGGGCAGTAGCTGTCGAAGATAAAATTAACCGGACATGGGTTTGCATCGGTGACATTAATCGTGCGGTAAGTTTATATTTTTTATAATTTTGCATGTAACTTCTAATAAATCTTTTTGTTCGTTAATCATGTTAAAAATAATAATATAATTTTATGAAGAAAGAAAATAATAAACTCTAATCTTTCGAGAAATAAATTAAGGGAGCAATATCGTCTGAAGACTGAAAACGTAGGCTATTTTTGTAATTTTTTATCGAGAACTGCGGGCGATTAATGTGCAATTTGGTATACTAAATACTACATATTTTCTAAATATCTAAATATCATAATTTTTACATGTAAATAAAATACAAGATACAAAAGTTCTTAGATAATTTGCGAAGTATAATTGAGCGCGCCTTGCTCCATGTTTGCCATGTTGTTTTAAGATACAGTAATCTGAAATACCAAAACAAATAAGATTATTAATTTAGAGATATTCAGTTATCGTTTGAACTAGGGATATTAATAAGGGATATTAATAAGGGATATTAATAAAAACAGATTATTTTTCAACAATTTCTAGACATTTGAAAAATTATACTCAAAAAATCGACAATTTAAAAATAAATAGTAAAAGTTAATATATTTTAGTTTTGCTAGTTTGGACGATAAAGAGATATGTTTGAAACATGCAACTATAGGCAAAAGTCGATCAGTTTATTAATTTGTCGCAAATCATGGCAACCATTTTGAGAAAAATCGTTTCGAGAAAAACACGTTTAAAATTTCGGGTACTATTTAACCATCAAATTCCATACTCTGACCGCGTAACCATAACTTCCACACTGGTGCGAATTTGTTTTTTACGTTTTCAGTACTTAATATTTTTATGAAGGATAAAAAAATATTAAGTTGTTATATATGTTTTTTATAGGAAATTATGTCAAATTTTAGAATCTAGTGATAAAACACAAATTGCATGACAAATTTATTTTAATGATGAAAAATAAGGTTTTCGTAAGGAGATTTTAGAAAAATAACTTTATTTTTTAACGATACTTTTTCTAATTTAATAAAATTCAATGGCTTATATAGATTTTTGAAGTTAAAAAATGTATTTGAAGAAAAAATTATTACAAATTGAATTAAATAAAAAGAAATATTTTTTATGTTAGCTTGATGTTGAACTTTTTTCAGAAGGAAAATAAATGAAAATACGATACATATGTAGGAAAATATTGTTTAATTGTTGCACATTCTACGCATGAATACGAGACATATACAGGGTGTCCCATTTTAATCGATCACCTCAAATATCTCTTGAACAATGCATTTTAGGGAAAAATGTTTCAGATAAAAGTTTTGTGATTTCGAGAGGGACATAAAATGATATCATTGGTTTGATCTCAAGTGGCGTCGTCGAGGTCAGAACAAGGTCATTTTGAATTTTTTAAATGGAACCCCCATTTTTAATTACATATTCTTATAGCATAACTCGAGAGCTTTCCAAAACATTATAATAAAATATTTTTTCATTAAATACCAAGGTCAAGACGATTGGAGGCTGTTCCTAATATTTTCATTTTTTCAAATTTTATAGTGAAAACGAAAATAATCATTTAAAATCATGGGGTAACATGTGGAGTCCGATTGACTCTAAAGGATCATATGAAGGTCACAATGCTTTGTCGGGACTACAAAGAAGCACACGTGTGAAATCCCATTAATACATTTTTTTAATAATTATTAAAGAAATTTATTAATGGGATTTCACACGTCTGCTTCTTGGTGGTCCCAACGAAGCATTGTGACCTTCATATAATCTTTTTTAAAGTTTTAGTTGTCGGTCGAACACCTTGGGTACCAATGCTAATGGCAACAATATTGTAGCTTTGAAGTCTTTTAACAAAAGATATTTAATGAAAAAATATTTTATTGTAGTGTTTTGGAAAGCTCTCGAGTTATGCTATAAGAATATGTAATAAAAAATGGGAGTTCCATTTAAAAAATTCAAAATGACCTTGTCCTGACCTTGACGACGCCACTCGAGATCAAACCAATGATATCATTTTATGTCCCCTTCGAAATCATAAAACTTTTATCTGAAACATTTTTCCCTAAAATGCATTGTTCAAGAGATATTTGAGGTGATCGATTAAAATGGGACACCCTGTATAGAAAAACGTTTAATCTTACAATTGTATTCTTAAAACACAATGGGAAAGAAAAAATAATAACATTTATATATTTTTCATGAAATTTAATTTGTAATAAAAACTAGTACATACATATAAAAATATTTATATTTAATTTGAGCAAAAACTTTGTTGAAGAAATTAAGGTAAAATTTCATTGGCATCGATTTCGCACTCGCTATTTCCACAAAAGAAATTCGCACCAACTCGAATTTTCACAGTCGCTGCTTAGCGTGCTTCGGCGGGAATAATTCCGAGAACGGTTGCGTCGTACACAATACACTCAGGAGGATTAAATAAGTTAGTCGTAGTGGGGGAAAAACGATATATCAACTCGCTGACAAATGGCAACGAAGTGAAATTTTTATTGATGCGAATTCGCACCAGTGTAGAATTTAAGGATTAATCATATACTTCTAATACTTATGCAAGTTTCAACCTAATTAGCGATTCCAGGCACAAACCCATAGAGGAAATCATTCTGTAGATCACATCCTTAAAATTTCCTCAAAATCTATACTGCTGCGATGCTGCGAATAATTCTGCCGTTGTCTGCCTCGAAAGTCGGCGTATTGACGCTATTATGGTCTTATCACGATGTCTAACTAAAGGAAGTTCGCAAAATCGAAAATTTGTGTACATATAAACGATGTACATGTCGCTGCATATCGTTGGTCTGACAGATTTCATAATCTAACGCGTCGTCAACTTTGTCAACTTATCGGCTAATATCTCGCTTCGCAGTAGAGAGCGACGCTTTCATTAGATAAAAAAGAACAATTATGATAAACACGGACGTATCAAAAAATAAATATTGTCGTTCCTATAACAAGTAAAGAGAATTTATATCCCTCATATATACGATGTTCAATTTCAATATATATTATGGTACTGTGTACCAAAATTATGTTCTATTTATAAAATTTTTCTTCGATAACTTTTTAACAAGCAATCACCACCGATTAAAATTATTTAAAGATTACTCAGAATGATGTCCTTGGCAACATATCTTAAAAGTAAAGTGATTAGAGCGAGGTCCCCTTTACGGAATAATTACCATAAAAGAATATATATACCGATATAATATATCGCTGTGAACTTAGCGCCCAACTTAAAAAAAATAAAAATATGTTTATACTATAGGTTTGTACCTCGTTTGTACCCGTTTGTATCACATTTTTTTGTTTGTACCTAAAGGGTTAAAAAGTTATGGAGGTGCAAAAAAATCGCCAGCGCCCAACATTAAGATATTTAAAAACGGCCAACGTCATTGGAAAGAACATCGTATGTACCCGTTTGTACCTCCTTTCAAATCGTTTGTACCTCAAAGGAACCGGAAGTACAGGCTTTTCAAGATACGCTCAATATTTTTCAAGCTACCTGAGAACAGCCAATGCCATTCAAAAGAACATCGTTTGTACCTCTTTCGTTTTTGTTTGTACCTCAAAGGGTTAAAAAATATAGCGTTTTTCAATTTTGACATATACTCTATATAGAGAACTCGGCCATTTTTAGATATATCGAAATGCGATTAACGGCATTCGAAAAAGCATTGTTTGTACACGTTTGTACCTCCTTTCAAATCATTTGTACTTCAAAGGATCCGGTATTATAGGCTTTTCAAAATACGTTCAAGAGGTATTTTTTCCATTTTTTAAGCTGTCTCAAAACGACTAATGCCATTCGAAAGAGCATTGTTTGTACCCGTTTGTAACATCCTTCAAATTGTTTGTACATTAAAGGGATCGGAAGTACAGCATTTCCAATATTCGTCAAAGGGTTAAGATGTAATTTTGTTAATGGCAGAAATATGTGGAATCGGCAAACGCTATTCGGAAGAGCATGAATAGCACCCGTTTGTACCATCTTACAAATTGCTTGTACCACAAAGAAACCGTAAATACAAGCTTTTCAAAATACATGCAAGAGGTGATTTCGTCAGTTTTTGTGATAATAGAAAACAACGAACGTCATTCGAAAGAGCACGAATAGTACCCGTTTGTACCATCTATCAAATCGTTTGTACCTCAAAGGAATCGAAAGTACGGGCTTTTCAAAATAGCAAGACATAGTGCAAGACATAATTTCGTCAGTTATTGTGATAATAGAAAACGATTGATCTTATTCGAAACAGTACGAATAGCACCCGTGTGCACCGTTCAAAGGGAGCGGTGCACTTGGACATGGTGCATTTGGACACAGCCAATCACAGCACCGTGTGATTAGAGACATTTGTAGGGTCCCTTGGAACAGCGACTTGTGATTGGACTGTGTCCAATTGCCCCGTGTCCAACTGATATACACCCCCGTTCAAATCGTTTCTACATCAAAAAAACCGGAAGTACAGGTTTTTCAAAATACGTGCAAGAAGCAATTTTGTCAATTTCTGTGATAATAGAAAACAACGGATGTCATTCGAAAGAGCACGAATAGCAACTGTTTGTATCACCGTTCAAATAGTTTGTACCTCAAAAAGTCCGGTAGTACAGCATTTTCAAGGTTTCTCAAAAGGTTAAGATGTAATTTTATTAATGGCAGAGATATCTGGAATCGGCGAACGCTATTCGGAAAAGCACGAATAGCTGCCGTTTGTGCCATCTTTCAAATCGTTTGTACCTCAAAGGAATTAGAAGTACAGGCTTTTTAAGAGGTTATACTACCCAGCAAATTTTTTTTTTCAATTTTTTTTTATTGTCTTAAATGATGCATAAACTATCCAAGAATGATATGCAAACACTATTTTGTCGGGGAAAATTCAATAAACTATTTTTAACAAGATAACTTCGAGCGCTCCTAAACGTTTAAAAAGGCCGCTCACCTGCGCGCGGCATTTTAAATGTATTATAGCTTGTTGGTAATTTTTGTTGGTACAAATCAATTTAATTTCTT